CTCTGACCTCAGGACACAGTCCTTGAATTAAAAACAACAACAACAACTATACAGGCAGATTAGAAAGAAAAACGGCTGAATTACAATATATTCACAAATTCCAATTCATCAACAGTGGGCTGAACAAAGTCAATGGCTTTCTGCTACACTACACATATTATAACACTGGACACTTAGCCAATTTAACATATCTACCTTCAGGTTTCCAGCCTGCACACACCTCATTCCAAAACTCTCTCCCACCATTTCAGATCATCATCCACCAATCCTGGCCTTAGGCAACATCTTTACTCCTGTCTTTGTCTCAATGACCATAGTTAAAACTAACCTTGTCACTTCACCATACTCACACATTTTGCATTTCTATGGGTATTCATACATCTAATTATAAAAGTCCTTCCTGGCCATCAATTCACTCTATGCATCTGAGAAAGTAGACCAGTTAGTCTCAAAGGAGCTACAAGAACCTTTTGCATAGTCATTGAACACAGTGAAAAAACTTAATGCTGAGTAACCCTGGTGAGCTGAAGTTGTACTTTGGCCACATTACGAGAAGGCATGACTCATTAGAAAATAGAAAAGACAACAATGCTAGGAAAGGTAGAAGGTAGTAGAAAGAGAGGAAGACCATATGCCAGATGGATAGACTCAGTCAAGGCCTGAATGTACAGGGACTTAAGCAGAGCAATTGGAGGGTAGGGGTCTTGGATATGTCTCATTCACAGGTTTGCCATGAGTCGGAATCAACTCGAGGGCAGTCAACAACAACCACCATGCAAAATTTTATACTCTGAGAATAGCAATCCATAAAAATGGAGCACCGTAGTTTAGTAACCATCTGTTCAAAGCAAGGATTTTTTTTCCAGTCCAGGATTTTGGTAGAAATAATTTTATGTATTGTTCAAAGGGGCTTCATTTTCGTCATTTACATTTTCACGTGTAGTGTGCTTCCCACTAATAAGTAATTAACCAACTAATTAATAGGCAGGCTGTCCTGCAGATTAGCTGTTGGGATGATCAGTGACTTCAAATATATTTAGGTCAGTAGCTAAATGGTAGGCAGAATTGGATTTTGATCAGGCTGAATCTGAAGACTAGGTACTAAAAGTTAAAATACTGTTTTTTCAAGGGGAGTTTTTAGGCACTCATGGTGCTGGGCTTATTATACTCTGCATAGTCTGCTATCAGCTGAACAACAAGTTAATACTAGAGATATGGTATTTTCAATTATGATAACAAAGCAAATGGTGAGTTATTTAAATGCAGGTTATGAGAAAGACGCCCTGAATCAGATGCAGGCATCGTGAAGATAGTCTGGACCCAATTTGGTGTTTTGGCTCTGCATCATATAAGTAGGATTCAATGAGCTGGGGGGAGGGAAAGGAACTGGGATAAAACACCAATGTAGACAAGACCCAAGAGTAGCAGGTCTCTAGCTTGAAGTGTTTTGATTTAGTAATTCCTTGGTTGAAGAATGGTACACTCCTTCTGTCTGGGATGGCCATCCTCTTCCACTGAGTGCACAGCTTCAAGAGAGACACACATGGAGCAATGAGAGAGGAAGGGGACCCCCCCCCCAAGCCAAATCAGCCCAATTAACCTTGGGGATCAACAGGGTGACTAATGTCCCAGGCAGATTGCCCTCACAATTAGCAATCTCTTCTCTGATTAAGATCTCCACCCCATTTCCTTTAGCATTCTCTCAGTAGGTACTGGGTATGTATATAAAGGTGAATGAATAAGAAGGTGAAACTTGATAAAAGTAACAAATGAATTGTTAATCAAATTGTTAATGTCAATATATTTTCAATCACAAAAACAGCTGTATAAAATAGATATACGAAACATGGCATAGAAAAATCTTAAGGGGCCTAAATACCTTATGGTACCAGATCCTGTCTGATCTTGGAAGCCAAGCTGGCTCAGCACTTGGTTAGTACTTGGATAGGAGACCACCAATGAATGCCAGGTACTATAGGCTATATTTCACAGGAAAGAAATGGCAAACATACCTCTGTATATTCCTTGCCTAGGAAAACCCTATGAAATTAATTGGATCACCATAAGTCAACAGGTGACTTGAAGGCACATACATATACACAGCAAGACAAAAATCAAGTGTATGGATGCTATTCTAGCACACTTCTAGCAGTAAAGCTTTCTTTATCACCCTTTTTTTATAGCAGTCTCACTCTATAAATGCCAGACAAGTATCACGTACCTGGCATTTCAGTGGGAGTAACATAGGCATCTGCAGAGAGGTTATCATTGCCAAATTAACATTCTTCCCCCCTCCTCCATCATCTTTTTATTTAATTCCACACATTTGGAATATAATTTCACAAAGGACCAGGATGTTAGCCAGATGATATGTTAGCCTCAATCACAGCTCAATGTAGAGACTTTGGGTTATGTGAAATAATTTAAAAAATGGGCCTGGTGCAATATTTTAGTTTAGAAAAGTTCAAAAATTGCCCTTCCCTCTGCTTATTTTGTAGGTAATTAAAACAACAGGTGCCTTATATTTTAGAAGCCAGATATTTTTAGTGAGGAGAAGGAAATATACACTTACAACTTGTTCTAACGTTTTTATTTGGAATATATATATATATATATATATATATATATATATATATTTCCTCTTGTGTATTCCTTGCCTTAAAAAACCCTATGAAATTCATGGGTTCCCCATAAGCCAACAGGCACCTTGAAGACACATATGCACACATTTCTTTCCTAGTTCTGTGTTGTGCTCATGTGGCTTTTCATTTGTTTATACTAGCAGAAACTCCATAAAGTATTATATCCTATTGCAATTTTAAATTATATTTACAATAACAAAGCTCAAGTAATAAGAACACTGGGATTCTTCTGTATAATGGTCTTAAGTGCCTCCATGATAACAAGAGTGTTTTTTAAATTCTTGTTAGGGGCACTTGGTACAGCAGGATATTATGGGGAATGAGATGCCTGGACCTCTTCCAAGGCTAACCTCCATAGAAACATCTTCCTGGAGACCATCTCCCCAGAGAGCTCTTTCCATATCACCTACCCAGGAATGTGGACAACCAGTGAATTTGTTGAATATTTTTCTGTTATGTGAAGAGGAGTTCTAGAGAACACCAAAGCTTTACTCAGAATTTTCTGACCCTTTACTTGATCCCTATAAAGGTATTATATCTACTGTGGCTTTGTGGCATTCCTTAATGAATTGCCAGAGCTCTCTACAATTTTTGTCTATTTATAAGACATTATGGAGCCAGTGTAATGTAGTGGTTTGAACATCAGACTAAGACTTTGAAGACCAGGATTCAAATGCCCACTCAGCTACGGAAATCTACTGGGTGACCTTGGAGAAGTTGCACTCTTCTCTCAACCTCAGAGGAAGACAAAGGCAAACCTCATCTGAATAAATCTCCCTCAAAGAGTAGTGGAGTCTTCTCCTTTGGAGGTCTTTAAACAGAGGCTGGATTGCCATCTGTTGGGGATGCTTTGATTGTGAGTTCCTGCATGGCAGGGAGTTGGACTGGATGGCCCTTGTGGTCTCCTCCAACTCTATGATGCTATGTAGTTTTGCAAAAAGAACCCTGTAATAGCATCACCTTAGAGTTGCCATAAATTGGAAACAACTTAAAGGCACACAACAAGAAGACATTACGGCTCACATCCGTGTATTCAGTTATGATGTTGTAAAATAGGCTTGTGGCCACATAACTGTTCCCTAATCACATGTACAATCATGGTATCATTGGCACAATTGTAAATGCCCCTGAAACTCATCTTAAAGCCAGTCACTCCTCCCAAGCGCTGGTGAGAGAGGCATTGCAGGTCTGTCACCAGCAAGCAATAGTGTTCAAGGAGCAGAAACAAAGATGGCTACAGAGTGCTGCTGCAATTCTTTGTCACACCATCACTTACTCAAAGGAGGGGGCTGATCATACCATTCTGCAATGCCCCACTCACCAGTGTCCCAGATCTCTGTTGCTTGGGATAGCTAACTGGCTTTTAAGGTGGGTTTCAGGGGTCAGATTAGGAAATGGAGCACAGCTATGATATTGTAACTATACCTTGGCCCATATAATTAAGCTAATCTTGAACCACAAATTCAGCTTTCTACCACTTGTACAGTCACTCATGCTTTGCTGCAATACTTGATGAGCCCTCCACTTCATAGAAAAGTAATACTGTCCATAGATAGTGAAGCTCATTCTGTAGGCCTAAAGAATTTTCCCCATTTGACACTGAAAGTATTGTTGAGCTTCACTTCATTTTTTTTGTCAACGTGAAGCAGAAAGACAAAAACCATTCTTTAAATGGCTGTACCTTGTATGAACACTTGGAGTTGCCATACCTAGTTACGCTCTACTGTCTAGCTAATATAAGTTTGATATGGCCATTTTTAAAAAATGCATTAAAGTTGAAGCCTTTTCAGAATATATTCATTACATTTATTTTATGAAATTAAAAATTTAACTACAAGGCAAATATGTTACGAATATGTCAAGAAGAGTGATCATTCCTCAGAACTGGGCATATCTCACATTTATTTAATCAATGAGAGAATTGAAATCTCACAAGAGCTGTTTGACAGTAGAATAGACTACCACAGAAGATAGTGAACTTCATTGGAAAACAGTAAACATGCTGGCTTGCCATCTCTTGTGGATGGTTCAGCTTCATGGTGGGATTTGGAGTAGATGTACTTTGGAGTGCCTTCCAACTGTATAATTCTGTATAATTCTAAAAACTTTATATAATGTAATTTACAATGGACAGAAAGCTGGAGGATGAGTCATTTTTTCTTCCATTATAGTTTTGTAAGTTGGAGCTAATGCTTTTGGTATGCTTACGTTTGATGTATCTGTGCTGAGTCTTTAGTTCTGTCTAAGACATCTTACGAGCCGCATCTCTCTGACTTCAGAAATAAAGCTTTGCTGTTCATCCACCGAAGCCTGATTTACAAGTTGGGGAGAAAGTTCTACTAGTTCTGACAGTTTCCATGGTCGAGTGGGGATTTGAACCCTGATCTCCAGAGTTATAGTCCAACACTAAAACTGCTATACCACATGACCAAACCAATAGTCTGGAAGGAAACACTAGTTGTTAGTTATTAAATGTCTTTGTTCTGTATGAGCCATCTCAGTGACATAGACTCAGTTTTAGAAGAAGCAATCCCTTCTGTATGAAAGTGAAGGAGAAACTCTCTTCCATGATGGCACTTGCCATCCACAGTTTTCATATATTATTCTTGTGTGCCTTCAAGTCATTTCCAATTTATGGTAATCCTAAACTGAACCTGTCAAGGGGGCTTCTTGGCAAGATTTTTTCACAGAGGTTTGCCACGTCCAAGCCAACTGAACTGATGGACAGAATCCTCCGAGGGACAGACAGTGTGACTTGACCAGAGGGTTTTCAAGGCTGAATGGAGATTCAAACCCTGGTCTTCAGAGTCATAGGTCAATGTTCAAGCCAGTATCCCATGCTAGCTCTCTGTTTTCTCATATATATATATAATTTATATATATATACACACACACTTATATTTTAAATTTGTGTTTGGTTTTAAATCTGCAAATCAACTTTTTAGATGTTTGGGAAAAATTAATTAACCTAATGAATGAACTTATGCTGCATCACTATGTAGTTCAGTAGGCAATCACCAAACATGTTCTCTTGGGAATTCTGCTTTTATATGGAAGCCATCTGTTGGTGCCGCAGTTCCAGACTTGGATCATGTTAGCTCAGTCTACAAAACACTGGTGTTGAGCAAGGACTCTATCCGATCCGATCCAATCCAATTCAAAAATTAAATCCCACCCATCTTCATTGGGGGATCCCTACTGTAGGCTCAAAATGAAGCTGGATGAGGCAACAGAGCTCAAGTGAACCCATCCCAGTGTCATCCTTCTACCTACTTGGCTAAACATCTCTGCTTTTCCTAAGTGATTGTGAATGTGTTATTGCACAGCATTAAACACTGCACCCTTGGATGCATCTGCACTGCAGAAATTTGACAGCACTTTAACTGCCATGGCTCCATGCTATGAGATTCTGGGAATTGTAGCTTTGTGAGACATTTAGCTTCCTCTGTCAAGAGAGCTCTGGTGCCAAAACAAATGGCAGTTCCGACAATTCCACAGCACTGAGCCATGGCAGTTAAAGCAGTGTCAAACTTTATTTCTGTAGTGCGGATACAGCCATAATACTACCGGCTTGATCTCCTGTGTGTGTGCACAAGCAGGGCTGTTTGAAGCTGTGGGGAGAGAGAAGAGAACAGATGAGAGGAGAGTATCTCTTGGCGTGTATAATTCCTCCCACTTAACCCCCACCACCATGTCCCTCAAAGGAAGGCTTCCCTCCATTTATTTCCTAGCTGTTTCTCTTGCATCAATCCAAAACACATCACAAAATAATCCAGTTTGAGACTGCTTTAATTGCCCTGGCTCAATGGTAGTGAATCGTGGGAACTGGCATTTTGTGAGACATTTAGCTTTCTCTGTTAAAGAGCTTTGGTACCACAAAAAACTACACATCCCCAGATTCCCTGCTACTGAGAAAGGGCAGTTAAAGCAGTCTCAAACTAGATTATTTCTGCAGTGTGTTTGGGACCATGAACACAGCAGAAATAACCAGGTTTGACACCACTTTAATTGCCATGACTCAAGACTGTGCAATTCTGGGAAGAGTAGTTGGTTGAGCTATGGCAGTTAAAGTGGTGTCAGACCCAATTATTTCTGCTATATGGATGGTCTGCAGAAATAAACACCCTGCAGAAATAATCCATCTTGAGACCACTTGAACTGCCCTGGCTCAGTACTAGGGAGTTTTGGGAACTGTAGTTTTGTGAGACATTGAGCCTTCTCTGTCAGAGCCTAATGCAAACCCTCCACAAGTATATTATTTATTTAATTAATTAATTTCAAGGATTCACATCCTGCCTTTCTCCCACAAGGGGATTCAAGGCAGGTTACAATAATTTAAAAACTCCACCAAAAAGACAAAAAAGTAGGTGGGAAGAGTGCGTTGACACCTTTCTCTTCTTCTGCAAAGAGCCCTGGTGGCACAGTGGTTACATGCCTGTACTGCAGCCACTCACTCACAAACCATGAGGTTCAAACAAAAATCCACCAGTGATACCTTTATTGGTCAACCAAAATGTCCAATATACTTTTTGCAAGCTTTCGAATCTTCGAAAGCTTGCAACAAGTATATTGGGCATTTCTTTGGCCAATAAAGGCATCACTGATGGGATGTTTGAATTTGCTAAACGGCCAACACAGCTACCCCTGAAAGTAAACCATAAGATTATGAGTTCACTACCAGCCAGGGGCTCAGACTCGACTCAGCCTGGCATCCTTCCGAGGTCCCAAAAATGAGTAGCCAGCTTGTTGGGGGCAATTGGCTTACACATTGTAAACCGCTTAGGGCAGGGGTAGGCAACCTTTCCCCTTTAAGGGCCGAGGGACTTCAGCTCCCAGAAGCCTCAGCCATGTTGGCCAATAGCTCCTGGGATTCTGGGACCTGAAGTCCCTCGGCCCTTAAAGGGGAAAGGTTGCCTACCTCTGGCTTAGGGAGTGCTTCAGTCTACTGTTAAGCGATATAGAAACATACTTGCTATTGCTATTGGTCCTCCTCTTCTTTTCCCTTCAGGGGAGTTATTCCTTTAATAAGGTAAGGATAAAATATTCCCCATTGACAAGGTTGTCAAGTCCTGTCTGACCATAGGGTGTGGTGCTCATCTCTGTTACTAATCTGAAGAGCCAGCGTTGTCAGAGACTACTCTGTGATCATGTGGCCAACATGATTGCACAGAACAGTTTACCTTCAAACTGAAGTGGTACCTATTTACTTGCATTTGCATGTTTTCAAACTGCTAGGTTGGCAGAAGCTGGGACTAGCTCACCCCATCATGCAGCACCGGGGACTCGAACTGCCAGCCTTGCAATCAACAGAGTCAGTGTCTTAACCACCTGAGCCACTGCATCCTCCTTTAATAAGCCTATAACCATGTTTCCCTGAAAATAAGACATACCCATAAAATAAGCCATAGCAGAATTTTGAAGCATTTGCACAATATGAACCATATCCCAAAAATAAGACATAATGATAGCAGTGGCTATGCAGGGTACCGGCGCAGAGTGGTAAAGAAGCCAGGTAGCCCTTCTCATCTGCCCCATCACTCTGTGTGTGCTGCAAATTGAAGCATAGAGGGAGACATAGGGGGTTGCAGACTGCCAGAAATAGTGCAAATTGAGTCTACTTTTAGGGTTAGGGTTAGGGAATCATGGGAATTGTATTTTATTGTGGCACCAGAGCTCTCTGACAGAGAAGGCTCAATATCTCAGAAAAAAAAGCAATTCCCATGATTCCCTAGCACTAACCCTAACCCTTAAAGTGGACTCAATTTGCACTATTTCTGGCAGTCTGCAACCCCCCCCCATAGAAAGTCAAAGTCAAAGTCTTCTCAGTGAAGTGAGGAGCAGGACGCTCTGCTTTAGGTATTGTGTGTCCTCATAGGGAAGAAGCAAAGCTGTGGCTGCCATTTTACTCAGCACTGTGGGTCTCTCTCCCCCAGCACCAACCAACCGGGAGAATGATGACGATGTTCCAGAAGAAGACGACTTAACTATATTAAATAAATGTAGATTGTTGTACCATAGTTAATAAATAAATAAAAAAAAGACATCCCCTGAAAATAAGCCATAGTGTGTCTTCTTGAGAAAAAAAAATAATATAAGACAGTGTCTTATTTCTGGGGAAACACAGTATGTGTTCTCAGAGAAAAGAAGCAAAGCTGTGGCTGCCGGTTTGGAGAGTTATGACAATGTTCCAGAAGAAAACGACTTAACTATATTTGAATAAATGTAGATTGTTATACCATACTTAATAAAAAAATAAGACATCCCTGAAAGTAAGCCATAGTGTGTCTTCTTGAGGAAAAAAGTAATATAAGGGCGTTATCACAGGGGGCAAATCTGCTGGTTAATCCACACAAAACCCAAACAGAAACTGGATTTGTGCCTTGCGTTTTCACACGACATCGTACAGAAAGTGGACAGAAACTGGTGTTAATCGAGATCTTTTGAAATTCGGTTGTTTGGAGGAAATGCAAATGCGAAATTAAGGTAATTTCGCATTTACCGTAATGCGAAAAGCAAATGCGCATTTGGGAGCATTTCCCTGCTTTTCCCATGGTTCCACGGCGAGCATTCCTCTATCTGCGCATGTGCAAGAAGATCATTTCTAGTACATTTACGGGCTTTTCTCACTTGTGTGTAAATGCACTTACTGTAAATTTGCAATTAAGGTAATTACGTGTGAAAGCCATTTGCGGAATCAAGGTTTATTTTCCGTTTATTTTCGGAATGCCTCATTTCCACTTTATTATCGCTTTCTGGCCCACGTGTGATAACGTCCTAAGAGAGTGTCTTATTTCCAGTGAAACACGGTATGTGTCCTTAGAAAAAAGCAGCAAACCTGTGGCTGCCGGTTTGCAGAGTTATGACGATGTTCCAGAAGAAGGCGACTTAACTATATATTTGAATAAATGCAGCTTGTTGTACCATACTTAATAAAAGATAAGACATTCCCTGAAAATAAGCCATTTTTTTTTTTCTGGAGGAAAAAAAATAATATAAGACAGTGTCTTATTTTGGGGGAAACATGAGTACCCAGCTTGTTGGGGGGCAATGAGCTTACAGTTGTAAACCGCTTAGACATCCCATAGCGCGATATGAAGTGGTATATAAATGAAGCTGCTTTTGCTTTAACTGAGGAGAGCCTTGCAAGGGGAGGAAGAGAGAGGGAACTCTGTGAGAGAAAGAGAAAGAAAGAGAGAGGAGGAGGAGGAGCTCAGACGTCAGCGGGAAGAGAGGCGTCCTCGCTGCCTTCAAGGGCTCTCCTTGCCCATCCTCCGAGGAGAGGAGGCTATTTAAGGGCTGGACGGGGAGCCCTCAGAGCCAAAGAGGGAGAGAGAGCTTGGAGAGAGAGCTTCCTTCCTTGCCTTTGCAAAAGGCGCAGCCGGAGGAGGAGACTTTGCCCCATCCTCAGCCTTCTTCTTCCTCAGAGGGAC